AAAAAAAAAAAAAAAAAGGAAAAAAGAATCAGGGGAAAGGGCTAACAAACATGGCCGTTGGAAGCGGTGTGGCTCTGCACCGAGAGGTCCCTGTTTACTGTACTGTACAGTGAGCGGGGCTTGCTATTGACTCTGCCTTTCCTCTTCATTCTTACCTTAACGACTAGTGGTGATATAATATACAGAACTGTATTGATGTATCGGGAGTAACAGGAGGAGCCATTAAATAGGAGAGACAAAGTATAATCACAAAATGTGCCTCGATACTTAAACTTAGCGAGTGTGCGCTTAGAAAAGCACCCTCACCCTGCCCTCCGTCACTCCAGGCAGTAAGGGCACATGCCTCGTTCTGTGCCCCACGCTCCTTTCCCGGGCTGAGCAAGAGACTGTCTTTTTGGACTCATGCCTTGCCCACGCTCCGGGAGAGGACAAGTCCTCAGTGACAAATACTTATGACAAAAATAGTGCAATCGACTTCTCTTGGCCAGAGGTATGTGTTATTGTCTGAGGTGCTTACCCAGGGGAGGAAAAAAAAAAAAAAGTTTGCCTTAGGTGTACGAGAAAGTTTAAACTCTCCAAGTTTCTGTTTTCTTGTGATCTTTCGTTTGTATCGACTGAAAAAGTGAAGCTTACTGCTCAGGAAAAGCTACTCAGGGCATTTCAATTTCAAATTTCCTTTTTTTTTTTTTTTTAATTAATTCCTTCCAGGACTCACCTAAAAGGCACACATCTGTGTGGGGATCGAGGTGGCTTCAGGTGTGGCTCCTTGCCTCCTATCACATATGCATAAATCCGGGAGTCATTCTAGGAGGGCTTGTTAAATGCAAAGCAGTAGCAAATGGATGACAGGCACTTTTAACTGCAGCCTAAATGTAAATATAGACTCCAGCTTGGCCTGGAGTCACACCATTACGGCTGGGGCAATCAGCAAACCTGTTCAAAGGGACATTTGGAAGGATGCTATGCAAAGTCACTCATCTTTTAACACCGTAATGATGGGAGGGACCAGTATTTTCACAGAAGAGAGACCCACCTTGTAAGGACTGTTTGTTCAAGGTACAAACCAGAATCTATTTCTCTACACCTTTTATTATTTCATATGTATATGGACGGCTTACATCAAAACTACAGGCGACAATTAGTATAAATAACGCTTTAATCAACGGCAGCAAAACATTGGCAAAGTCTATAAAAAAGCATCACACTTTAACAGAGATGAGAGTATTGCTGGGCAGCGCGACTGGTTAACAAAAGCTCCAATGCACTACGTTTCACCCATGATAAACAAAAGTAACCAGCTTCCCTTCCTGCACAAAATAACTCTGCAGGAGGGTTAAAAACCAATACAAAATAAACCTCAGGTTCGTTTTGCACGGGAGATAATGACCAGTGGGTGCTCCTGGTCGTTATTTCAGACATTCCTGACCTTTCAGAGCATTGGCAGCTGGAAACTTTTTCTTTTGGTACTTTCTGCCCCCAGATCATGTATTCTCCCAGCTTACAGTGCAATTACAACTCTGTAAACTTACAGTGCCCCAGCCACGCTCAAAGAGGACTTACAAACAG